GAAGCCAGATCATGATTAAGAAATGACTTCAAAAATCCTTCTGAATAAAGTACTCAATGGCTGTTTTCACTGGAACTTCTGTGATCCCAAACACCATACACTGGGAGCTTCCAATCAAGACACTGAGTTCTCACACTGCTGGAAGTTGAACATCAAGAAAAAGTGTGTCCACCCTACCCATACTCCAATATTACTGCACCACATTTGATAGGGTTCACAGTAGGAGGCAACCAATCTTAAGGGACATATATATCCCTCTAAGATTGGTTATATATATATATATATATATTCCTCTAAGATTGGTTATATATATATATATATATATATATATATATATATATATATATATGGGTGTGAATAGTAACAATACCAGGTCTCATTCCCCTGAAAGAGCCTCCAATACGGCAACATTGGGAAAGACGAGTAAAGAGAGACTGCTAAAATCTCAGGGCTGGAATGAATGGAGACATTACTGGTGCCCACTCGAATAATTCAGTGAACAACAGGATGACAGTGATACAGAGATATATATGCATGCATATACATATATGTATATATATTTTACATATATATCTTTAACAACATGTTAATGATATCTTATAGAAGGGCTCTATGGCCCCTGGGTGAAATACAACAACCTCCACACTCTCCTCTAAGGATACTTTTTGTAGCATTTTCAGCATTTTTTCATAACAAACAATACAAAATATATTATTGTGGTTCTGCTTGGGGGCAGGGATTGGGGTTTGGGATGGAAACATCCGAAATATAATGGTGGGAGGGTGTAATGGTGAAGGGATTGGTGTTTGAATATTAAATGTATTGAAATATTGTGAACTACTTTATAAAATAAAAAAAAAATTTAAAAGTGTGTCCTGTAAGCACCTGTTGGCCAGTTCACAGACCGTGCTCCAGCCCTTTGCCTGCTCACACTTTCTCAGTTTTCTCACTGACCCGGGGGAGGGGCACTTCTGAAGTCTCCACAGAGAGCAGCCAATCTCCTTCACAGAGGCTGCCCCTCAAGATCCAACCCCCTCCCACAGGGCTCACCTCCACCAACCATCACAGTGCACAGTAAATGCCAAATTGAGGGACGCTTGCTGGACAGCATTCTCCTCCCAAATGCAGGTCCTCACATGCAAGCCATGCTCATCTCATCCTCAAGGCCAGGACACGCTTGATTTGTTCGCCCTTCAACCCGGAGTTCTAAAGCCCCACGTTCCTCTCCCAAATCCAACCCATCTAAGACACGACGCTCTCTGGCCATGAGAGCAAACGAGTCCCACACTTCCAACTGCAGCCCTGCGGCCCGCAGGGGATGGGAGCTTCATGAAAGGGGAACTGCAATGAGCCCCCTGGATCTCCTGAGCACCCCTGGGGGGATGCTCCCCCTCAAATTAGCCTCTGCTAAGTGTCTCACTTCAGCTCTTGTAAGTGCTGCTTCTCACGAACACTAGAACAGCACAGTTCAGCCCAGCACTTTGGGGTTTTCCTCAGAAGATCATCAGTGCATTGGCCCAGTCTCACCCATGCTGTTCCCCCCCCCCCCCCCAACCCTCTAGTCACATCGGGGCCTGCTCTCTAGGATAGGGCCTGCTTGCTGGGCTCCTCTTCTTCCTCTCACCCCATCATCCTTCCGCTCTGTCCACAACGGTCCTGCTTTCCGCTCCGAATCCTGCCAAGCCCTCCAGCCTGACTCAACCTGGGTTCCAGCTTCTACTTTGTCCAGCGGTCACAGCAACACCCAACTTCATTTTTTTAATTGGTGAATCACCGTGAGGTACAGCTAAAAACTTAAGAACTTAAAAACTTTCGTGTTTGCTTTACAGTCATACAGTGATCATTTACCCATCCCTCCAGCAGTGCCCATTATCCTCCACCAATGTTCCCAGGATCTCTCCCACCACCTCCACCCCATCCCCCACCACCCCACCCCGCCTCAACGGCAGGACATTCCCTTTATTCTCTCTCCTTTTCGGTGTTGTGGTTTGTAATAGAGGTATTGAGCGGCCATCATGTTTGGCCTATAGTCTACTTTCGGCACACATCTTTCAACCTGAATAGGTTCTCCCAACATCCTTTATTTGGTGTTTCATTCTCTATCTGAGCTGCCTTTTCCCCCAGCATGTGAAGTTGGTTTCCAAGCTGTGGAGCAGACCTCCTGGTCTTTATCTCTACTATTCTTGGGTGTTAGTTTATTACTTTTTTTCCTTCTTTTTTTGTAGGAGTACTGCTATTTATTCAGCCACTGATTAGCTGATTGAATTGTGCATGAACTCCACCTTACTTTTTTTTTTCTTTTTCCATTTTTTATAATTTTATTTATTGAATCACCGTGACAGCAGTTACAAAGCTTTTGGGTCTAAGTCTCAGTCATACAATGAAACACCCGTACCTTCACCAGTGCCCATTCTCCACCACCAAAAATCCCAGTATACCCCCATCCCACACCCTCCCCCTGCTTGTGGGGCAGATGATTTCTACATTACTCTCTCTCTACTTTGATCACATTCACTATTTCGACACCAGACCCACCATTATTTAAGATTTTACCCCAACACTCAGATCTGCTGCAAAGGCAACAATAGACAATTTGTGTTCTATTGCTGGTTATGAATAACATATGATGTCGTGTGGCTGCAGTAGGGCCATGCGGTTTTGAAGTTCTGAAATTTTAACACTTAAATCTGGAGGGATTTCTGCCAAAAGCCACTGGGTTTAGAGATCTGCTCCTGAGTCTCTGGGATCATGGCCATTGAGCAGCTTGATGAGGAGCCAAAGAGGCCATTCGTGGGCGATGACTTGGGGTCTCATTGGGGTGGGGAAGACAGGCCCGGCTCCACCTCCCCCCCATCCCGTGAGACACAACAAGTTTCGTCACTGCGGGCCCCAGCCTGACTGTCCAATGGCCTCTGGAGGATGACAGCCACCAAGTTGCCAAGAGGGAGCAGGCGGAGGGACAGCACCCATTCCCCCCTGGGGTGGTCTGGTGACAGTAACCTACTGCGGGGTCCGGACACATTTCTGACAAAAGCCGCTGGGTTTCGAGATCTGTTTCTGAGTCTCTGGGATCAAGGCCGTTGAGCAGCTTGATGAGGAGTCAGAGAGGCCATTTGTGGGCGATGACTTGGGGTCTCGTTAGGGTGGGGAGGACAGGCCCGGCTCCACCTCCCCCACATCCCGTGAGACACAACAAGTTTTGTCACTGCGTGCCCAAGCCTGACTGTCCAATGGCCTCTGGAGGATGACAGTCACCAAGTCGCCAAGAGGGAGCAGGCGGAGGGACAACACCCTTTCCTCCCTGGGGTGGCCCGGTGACAGTAACGTACTGTGGAGTCCGGATGCATTTCTGCCAAAAGCCACTGGGTTTTGAGATTTGTTTCTGAGTCTCTGGGATCATGGCCGTTAAAGCAGCTTGATCAGGAGCCAGAGAGGCCATTCGTGGGCGATGACTTGGGGTCTCGTTGGGGTGGAGAGGATAGGCCCGGCTCCACCCTCATCCCGTGAGGCCCTGTGTGTCTCGTCACTGGGGGCCCAAATGTGACTATTCAGTGGCCTCAGACGGATGGTGGCCACTGGGCCACCAGGGGGAGTAGGCCAAGGCACGAAACCTATTCCCACCTGGGTTGGCCCAGCACCGGTAGCCTACTGCAGAGACCAGACGCATTTCTACCTAAAGCCACTGGGTCTGAGATTCGTTTCTGAGTCTCTGGGATCATGTCCATTAAGCAGTTCAATCAGGAACCAAAGAGGCCTTGCCTCCAATTATATAGCTGAGCCGGAGGTGGTTTGTGGGTGTGTTTCCCACATACCTAACTTTTGGCAGTTTACTTTCTTGGTAAACTTTGCCCCAAGTTTTTGGGGTCTGGCCAAAGGCACAGCAGCAATTTGGGGGTATCTGGAAGTCTGAAGGCGCCATGAGGCTGCTGATGCACTCGCCTCACAGATACAGATTGACCTGCTGGTGGCACCATACCCCCTAGTTTATTACTTTATATTCCACAGATGAGTGCAATCTTTCTATGCCCGTCCCTCTCTTTCTGACTCATTTCATTTCTGACTTATATCACTTAACATGATACTTTCCATGTTGATCCACTTATATGCAAATTTCATGACTTCATCTTTTCTAGCTGCATAGTATTCCATTATGTAGATGTACCAAAGTTTCCTTAACCAGTCATCTATTCTTGGGTATTAGGGTTTTTCCCCCCAGATTTTGGCTACTATAAACAGTGCAGCAATGAACATACAAGTGCAGATGTCATTTTGACTAGACTTTTTTGCTTCTCCGGGATATATTCCCAGGAGTGGTATTGCTGGGTCAAATGGGAGCTCAATTTCTAATTTTTTGAGAATCATTCATAATGTTTTCTAAAAAGGCTGAACCAGTCAGCATTCCCACCAGCAGTGAAGGAGAGTCCCTTTCTCGCCACATCCATGCCAACACCGGTTGCTTTTGTTCTTTTGGATGACAACACCCAACTTTCCCCACTCGCCTTAATAAACTTGGCTGGTAGGAGAGGAACACTGTGGACCAGTGGGTTTCTTTCCTTTTGGGCAGGCCAGCCAACACTTTAAGGCCAGGACCCAAGCATGTGGGGCTTCTTCAGATGACCAGGGTCACCCCAGAGGTGCTCAGGGGCCGCTAAGGCTACCCCAGTGATGCTTAGGGGAGTCACATGGTACCAAGATCTAACTGGGATCCTATGCATGCAAGGCTTTCCCTCAAGCCAGGGACTAGCTCCCTGATCCTAGACTAGGTGAGATATGCACAAATTATTCCTCACTATTCTGGCAGCTGAGCTGTCCATGAAGATCAAGGTGCTGGCATTCTAGGGGAACTCAGCCTATGCAGAGGACATCAGCCCATGCTTTCACCTCTCAAGCCCCCTCTCCTATGCCCCTCTTACTGGAATCATTTATAAATTTGAGGACAGAGATACAAACATTGAGTCTGTAGCAAAGTCACAACCACGAGTACAGTAGTGGGATTTTATTACAAAGCCATCTTATATTTATTAGAAAGTGAAAATCATACGATGAGACTTAGCAACATATATAGCTCAGAGGATAAATCGTTTCTGAAGGAATCTGATTGATTTTATGCAGTGCAGTACCATGGAGAAATATAATACAAAGTATAGTATAAAACTCATGGACTCATTAGACACTTTTACATAAAGAGAAATAACTGTACAAAGACATGTTAATATCACATAAAACACTGAACAAATTAAAATGTCATTTCGGCAAAATAAATTTTCAATATTATGTAGCAGAACTTGAAGTGCAGTGATAAGTGCAAGTATTAATGAGAAAGCTATATCAATAAACTTCTGAATACCATTTGACAGATTTTCTATGCAAAATTTGAAGCTACAGTATATAAGGTAATATATATGTATATATATATATATATATGTCTATTTAAGGCCTCAAGTACATTTTAAAATAAAAGGAATTCATTGCAGAAACCAGTAGCTTCTACTAGTTTTTTTACTTTTTTAAAAAATGCAATCAGTAGCACATAAAAACAAACTTTGTAAAACATGGAGTAAAGCAACATTTTCCATAATAAGATGGAGTTTTTCTAAACACCTTCTTTCCAGTTCAATAAGAACTGAGACCCGAAAGACTGGTCTCTGAGGAATCACACACAAGAACATTGGACAAAGACCAGGAGAAGGACACATTTTATCCTACACACTCAATATGTCAAAAGAAACATAATTCACATCCAGGTAAGATATTGAAGTGGGATGGAGGCAGCGTGGTTGCACACTGCGGGTTCACTAGCACACAAGGCTTTGAATTCAACAGTCTAAAAACATGCCTGTTACATTTAATAACCCTATACGTTCTTTATTGATTAACTGGAGGCCACAGAAAAGTGATAGTGGCTGTGTTTTCTTATGTCCTTTGTACTGACAGAGATTTCTAAGCTGTCACGGTAATATTTCTAAGCTGCTGGTGTAGTATTTCCAAGCAGACAAGCAGGATTCCCAAGCACTTTGTCCTTTTGTCTTTGACAAAGTGTTATACAGATGGTTACATTTGAAAAGTTTAGAAGCAAAACCAACTCTTGGACCTTTAGAACAGCACAGTGAGTGTGGGGGTCTTGTGATTCATTTATTCTTTAGAAAGGCTCAATTAACTCCTTTATGCTAAATCAAATGTGACCCACAAGCTCAATAGGTAATCTTAGAGAATTGTGTATATTCAAGGCACCTGTTAGTCAAGGAGATTAAACAGATTCTTGCAAGTTTTTTTCCTTTGTTGTTTGTTTTTGGGTCACACCCAGTGGTGCTCCGGGCTTACTCCTGGCTCTGTGCTCAAGGACCACTTCTTCCAGTGCTCAGAGAACCATACGGGATATGGGAGATGGAATCCAGATCAGTCACATGCATGGCAAGCACTCTGCTTGCTGTCTTATCTCGCTGGCGCATACAAGTTTCTCAAAGGGATGAAGCAGCTTCTCATAGGCTGCTGCTATTCTACCTGGACTTCTACAATGGCTTTACACTGATCAGCACTTTATAAAATAGTGCAACCCTCTCTTCCTATACAGGCACTTTCTGATTTTCCATGTTCTTGAATCTGATAATTAGCCAAGGACACTTAAGATGCAAAAGCATGCTTATTTTATAATAAAAGCAAACTGTTCATAGAAACCTTTGCAAAATACAATTCCAATACATGTACCCAATTCTATTTTTCCTTCCACAATAAAACAGCACTTTGCCCGCCATGCTTTGATTTTGAAAAGATGAAAACCATTATTCTTTTGCAGCTGGGATCTAACTTATCTTTGGTAAGAGACCAAGCAGATGGTGAGAGACAGAAGTGGGTTAGAGATTAAGCTGAATGAGGACTCGATTTCAACAAAGATTGCAATAATGAAACTGTTTCCTACTTCACTTACTATTAATGTGAACTGGGACTCATTTTCCCCTTAGCTCATGCCCAAGCATTTTCAGATCACAGTGTATGTGTTTACCTGATCACTGGACACAGCTTTTACAGGAAGCTCACCAAGGTCTACCATAGAGACAAGTAGACAGATACTCAATGGAAACTACATTCTTGAACTTAATCTTTAAGCTTACCTGTCAAAACTAATCCCCAGTAAAAAAAACTTCAAACGTGAAAAGCAAACATGTCACCAAAGGTTGTCTATAAACCCAATCAAAGGTATCTGTTTTCTTCTTTTTAATTCATAATAATTGTTCATTGGATGCTTCCATCTAATGATGGTGATGAGTGTTTGCTTGGTGGTGAGACTGTGCAGATCGTTCAAAATACATGAAGTCCTGAAATTGGAAGAAGAATAATGTATTACGTGGATATGAACAGACTTATAGATATGTTTAGATAGATACATAAGTAAAAGCAATGATACAATGTTATCCTTTATAATTGATCAGGTGATCTATCCATTCAAGTAACAAATAAGCCAGACAAAATTTTATAAAGGGTCCTAAAATGAAGGGGAGAATGAAAACTTGAAACAGTTAGGAACCAGTAAGTTTTTCAGTTCAGGTACCAAGTCAATTAATTTTCTTTCTTTTTTGGTGGGGGGTCATACCTGGCGATGCACAGGAATTACTCCTGGCTTTGCACTCAGGAATCACTCCTGGAGGTGCTCGGGGGACCATATGGGAAGCTGAGAATAGAACCTGGGTTGGCCACGTGTAAGGCAAATGCCCTACCTCCTACCTGGAGTGCTATCATTCCAGCCCCCAAGTTATTAAATTTTCTTTGTTGAAAGAGAACTCATTTGACAGACAGATGGTACAGGGACTAATGGGAATTTTCTCCGCATGGCTGAGCACAACTGGATCCTGGCACTACTGAGTTCCTTGAACACCAGGAGTGATTCCTGAGCACAGATCTGGGAGTATCCCCAAGCACTGACAGATGTAGACCAAATTTTTTTCAAGCCCTGCCGGATACAGACCAAAATTTTAACAATTTCTGTTTTGTGATTTGTTTGTTTGGGGGCCACACCTGGCAGTGCTCACATGTTACTCCTGATTCTGTACTCAAAAATTACTCCTGGCAGTGTTTGGGGGACCATATGGGACGCCAGGCATCAAACCTGGTTTGGCTGCATGCAAGGCCAACACCTTCCCCACTGTACTATTGCTCTGGCCTTCAAGTTTTATCAATTTTTAAAAAGATTAAACCTTTGGACTGGAGCCATAGTACTTTGGATAGGGACAGGGCGCCTGCCTTACATGCAGCCATGCCGAGTCCAATCCCTGGCACTATGTACAGTTTCCTGAGCACAGCAAGGAGTGATCCCTGAGCACAGAGCCAGAGGTAAATGCTGAGAAAATCCCGAAAAAGCCAAACGAAAAAGAAAAAGGAAAAAAGAAACGCTTGTAATATAATATTTTGCATGTAAATATGAATTATTGGGGCTGGAGTGATAGCACAGTGGTAGGGCGTTTGCCTTACAAGTGGCCAAGATGGCCGACCCGAGTTCGATTCCTCCACCCCTCTCGGAGAGCCCGGCAAGCTACCGAGAGTATCTCGCCCGCAGGGCAGAGCCTGGCAAGCTACCCATGACGTATTCGATATGCCAAACACAGTAACAACAATTCTCATGATGGAGACGTTACTGGGCCCGCTCGAGGAAATCGATGAACAACGGGAGGACCGTTCTTGGGCTGGAGTGATAGCACAGCGGGTAAGGCGTTTGCCTTGCAAGCAGCCAATGTGGTCGACCTGAGTTTGATTCCTCCGCGCCTCTCGGAGAGCCCGGCAAGCTACCGAGAGTATCTTGCTCACATGACAGAGCCTGGCAAACTACCCGTGATGTATTTGATATGCCAAACACAGTAACAAGTGTCACAGTGAAGATGTTACTGGGCCCGCTTGAGCAAATCAATGAACAACGGGAGGACCGTGACCATGACCGTGATGAATTATTGATGACACATATGAATAGTATATGAAATACAGCAAGGGAATTGCACCAATCAATCTTGGTGCAATCATTTGGTACTCCAAATGATACACTGAAAGAAGGGTGGAGGGGTGAAGAAAAGAAAATAATCTACTGATAGGGAGGCAGTAAGGTGGAGGGAAAGGAAATCAGCTCTCGAGTTATTCACTTCATTAAGAAGTCCCACTCAAGCACTTCAGTGAGAACTATTAATAGCACAATGGCACCCACTAAGTGCAGAATATCTCCAAAGACCTTGCTGGGACCTTTATTCATTTGACAGTTAATATCCATGTCCCTGCAACCATAAGAATTCTTATTTCCATTTTACAGTTGAGAAGTCCGAGGCTTCAGGGAAACCTGAAACTCTGTGAGGCAGGGAAGAGCAGAAGCAAATATGGACCCGATTTCAAGGTGGCTTGCCTTCCTACGACTCTCCCCTGCTTCTCACCAGAAGAATCAATCTCAGGAGAAGTCCAAAAAGTAAAGGGCTTACAATGAGGAAGCAGGCACCAAAAATCAGGGCTTTCATCTTCACATCCAGGCTTAAGGGAAAGTCGACTTCAAAGTGATCGGCGTCCATCGAGGCGGTCAATATACCGGTCCACTTCCTAGTAATGCTGCCGGTGGACACGCCCTCCTTAGTTATCACCTAGAAAGACAAAGATATGACACGTGAGGGATTAGACCTCCTAAAGCCAATGTTATCTTTCCATGATGAAGCAGTTTCCATTGGGAGCATCAATGCAGTGCAGGAAGGAAAATATGGTCACAACTTAATCTGCAAGGGGAAAGTCTGGTGGAGAAAAGTGCAGGTGCTCACTGCCTGACCAGGGTTGCTGTGTCTTCCAAGTCTCAAGAGTGGCTTTCTCTTTGTCCTCCGAACTAGGAGAGGAAGCTGGTCAGAGGAGGGATTGCACGAGCCGGTTCTGCAATTCCCCTCCTCAGAAGACAGGCCATCCAGGAACTGGGCATTGGGAGGAAGTTGCTCCCAGTCTAGGGAAGCAGAGGACGGGAAGGAGGGAGGAACGGGTCTGTGGACTCAAGTCACACAGTCACTCTGGCTTCTGTGGGCGAATCCACACTGATTTCTTTCTTTTTTTGTAAACTGCTATTTATTCAGTGACCAGGTAAGCTGATGGAAGAGGACATGAACTCCAAATTACTTTTTTAAAAAATTGGATATCCATGATAAAGACCATCACAAAGCTGTTCATGATTGGATTTCAGTCCTACAATGATCCAGCACCCACCCCTCCATCAGGATATATTTCCCACCACCAATGTTTCCTTCCACCATTCTCCAACACCCACCCAACACCCCCAGCCTGCCTCTAAGGCAGGCACTTTTCATCTTGCTCTCTCTCTCTCTCTCTCTCTCTCTCTCTCTCTCTCTGTCTCTCTCTCTCTCTCTCTTCTTTCCCTTTAGTGCATTATGGTTTGCAGTACAGGTACTAAGAGATCTTCGTGTTTTATTGGGAAGGTAAGGCTGGAGTAGCTCTTTTAACTGGGTGGCCTCTCTGGGGTGTGGACGTGACTGCCAAGGCTTCTGGAGGCACAGTGAGGCCACGTTGATTTCTGAAGGGAAGTCAGACAGCATAGAGTTTTGGCTTCCAGCAGAGAGACCCCAGCATTTACTAAAGAGGAAATACCCCCAAACTAACTCTTGACCATCACATACATACACAGTATCTTCAAGTGAGCCTGAGGGTGGGGCTCAATTTCTTTACAAAAGTATTTTGGAAAAGAAGTCAGGCTCCCGGATACGGTGATACAAACTGAAAACGGAGGCTATAGTACTGAATGTCAAGGGAAATAGTTAAGATGCAATTTTATTTATTTTCTGTTGTGGGTCCATACCCAGCCGTGCTCAGGGCTTACTCCTAATTCTGTGCTCAGAGGTCACTCCTGGAGGGCTTGGGAAACCATATGTGGTGTCAGGGATCAATCCTGCTTGACTGAGCAAGTCAAGTGCACTACTCACTATACTACAACAATGGCCTCAAAAAGTTCCATTTTAGATGCTGACTTACAGTAGCACTGTCCTCCCTTTGTTCATCAATTTGTTCAATTTTCGATTGCTCGAGCGGGCCCAGTAACGTCTCCATTGTTAGACTTGTTGTTACTGTGTTTGGCATATTGAATGCGTCATGGGTAGCTTGCCAGGCTTTGCCGTGTGGGTGAGATATTCTCGGTAGCTTGCCGGGCTCTCCGAGAGGGGCAGAGGAATCAAACTCCTGTCAGCCAGGTTGGCCACGTGCAAGGCAAATGCCCTACCCGCTGTGCTATCACTCCATTCAGGAAAACTTCTTTCAAGAATTTCAATGTCCAGCTGGACAAGTAGCACATCAAGCCCCCAGCATCCCATAGGGCCCCTAAGCCCCATCAGGAGTGATCCCTGAGCATAGAAACAGAAGTAAGCACCGAGCACCGCTGGGTGGGACTTAAAAAAATAGTTCAAGGAATATTTCTAGAATTCTGTGATCTAACTCCTGAGACATGCAGTAACCATCTAGTAGTTGAGAAAAGGAAAGTAGAAGGGGGTTTCTTTTTCTTACAAAAATGTTGTAGCTTAGTTTGAGTTGTATCCATTGGCAGCCCTGCCCAGGATCCCTGCAGGATGTCCATCCTGCAGCCAGCCATTGACACAGCCTTGGGGGACTCTGTGTGTCCTGTGCTAGGATAGGGCCCTCCTCACTCAGCACCCAGCTTCCCGCCCAGAAACTGACCATGCAAAGCAGACAAGCACCAAAGGCACGCAGTCAGTCAGGCTATGTCCTACTATTTCCTTCCCTTCCTCGAACACTGAAATCACGAAGTCAGTTTACATTTTGGCAAGCAGTGACTGTTGTCAAGACTTGCTCTGGCTCCCACACCCCTACACTGCCCCCTTCGTACCCCAACACACCTAGACCAGCTCATTCCTGGAAGGAATGTGGCAGCCGTTTACCTCAAAGGGAGCGTCGGAGCAGCAGTTGCACGATATGCAACAGGGCCCTTGGACACTCATCACGGCCTCTCTCTTCTCGTTCTGGATGCTGAAAAGTGCCCGGCACAGCTGCCACTGCTCCCGGATGAAGCCCAGGGTGACACCCGGGGGACACTGCACCTCCATCTGCAGACGAGAGGTGGCAGAGGAGAACGTGAGAAGGTGACACGTCACACAGACAGACACACACACCATACACACACACCATACACACACATCATACACACACCATACACACACTCACACAGACCACACACACACCATACACACACTCACACATACACCATACAGACACTCACACATGAAACACACACCATACATACTCACACACCATACACACACTCACATACCATACACATACTCACACACACCATACAAACACCATACACTCACACACACCATACACATACCACATACACACTCCACACACACCGTACACACACTCACATACACCATACACACACTCACACACACCAACACACACTCACACACACCATACACTCACACCATACACATACATCATACACACACACCATACACACACTCACACCCACACCATCACACACAACATACACACACTCACACACACACCATACATACACACTCAGACAAACACACACACACCATACACACACACCATACACACTCATACACAGTCACACACTGTACACACACTCACACACAGACTATACACACACCAAACACACATACCATACATACACACCATACACACACACCATATACACACACCCATACAAACACCCCATACACACATACCGTAAACACACACTATATAACTCCCCATACATACACACCTTAAAAACATACATACTCCACACACACACCATGTATGCAGCTCCTCTGACAGTAGGAAGTTTCTAACATGGCAGACAGAGGCCAGAGAGAGCCAGAAGGTCTAGAACAGGGTCTGCATACAGGAGGTGTGGCTTGGATCCCCATTAATACACAGGCACGACCCCCAACCACCCAGCAGGGGACAGTCCCCAACTAACACCAGGTGTGGCCACCAGCTGCCTGAAATGAAGGATCATAAAAATAATTATTTATTTATTTTTTGGCCATGGCCTCACTCCAGCTATTCTCAGCAGCAGCCATTTCTTCCATGGACTGATGCTGGGCGCTGAGGTCAGGATTTGAGGCAGTCGGTTCTGCATGGTCAGTCGGGGCTGCCCTGGGTCAGTCTCTCAAAACTGGGGGAGAAGGGGATCTGCTGACTCAACCTCAGGCTGCTTCTGTGCATTCCATAACCTCTGCCTTCTGAGGAAGGGAACTCCCCTTGGGCAGGGGCCAGGCAGAAACTAAGCCAACACAGACTTCAGTCTTGGACCAGACGGTTCTAACAGATAACCAGAAGGCAAGGTGGCCTCCTGAACCAGCGCACTATGAGAACAGGAAGTGCGTGTGGCTGCGTCCAGTGCTTTAACATAACGCCCGCTACCCTCTTTAGCTCTTGCTGGTCTCAATATTCCTTCCTGAAGCAGTCTGGCTGCCAAATTTTAGAATAACCAATAACCAGCAATTACATTATTGGAAAAGGCTCAACCTTCAAGTTCTACTGATGCTTCTTCTGAGATCATACACTTAACAAAGAATTTTGAGTACTCTGTGTGTCCTCTGGGGCCCAGGTGATACAACTTCACTGTGCAGTGAAATGATCATTCTGCATCTCTGGGCAAACACAGGTACACAGAGACAGACATCTGATAGCGTGCAAGACTGACCTCTCAGGGAAGTGTAGGTCTAAGAGATAAAGATTCAGAGCAGGTAGCTGGGCTGGAGAGATAGTCCAGGGATCAGGGGTGCAGGAAATGACTTAAGTTGACTCAACAACTTGACATCAACTTGACTTGACCCCAGTTAGATTCCCAGCACTGCATATGGTCCCTTGAGCACTGCCGGGAGTGATCCCTGAGCACAGAGCCAGGAGTAATATTTAAGCACTGCCAGGTCTGGCCCCCATTCCCAAACAAACAAACAAACAAACAAACAAATGGCAGAATAAGGGGTTTGGGGAAGTAGCTCTGTAGCAGAGTGCTAGCCTGGTATATGTGAACTCCTGGGTTCTGGCCTCAGTAACAAGTGTCACCAACAGAGAAGGCACCATTATGACAAAGAGAGTTGTAAATGATCACTCTGGATGAGCACTGCATGCTGAAAGTAGGTAAAGGGACAGACACGATGACCTGTCAGTATTTGTGTTGCAAACCATAGTGCCAAGAAGGAGAGGGAGAGAGATGGAGAGAGAGAGGAAGAGAGGGAGAGAAACAGAGAGAGAAAAACAGAGAGAGAGATACAGAGAGAGCACTATAGAAGTAATCTGCGTAGAAGGTGGGAGGTTAAATGGGGGTCATTGGTGGTAGAAAATGGATACTGGTGGAGGGAGGGATGGGTGTTGGGTCATTAGATGATGGAAACCTGATCACGAACAGCATTGTAACTGTGTGTCTCATGGTCACTCGATTAAAACAATAACAAAAACCCCAAGTCCCACCAAAAAAAAAAAAACAAACAATCACATCCAAACTGTATGTAAATGAGTCACCTGAACCATTAAAAAGTATGTCCCATGGCTCAGCCTTGATCAGAAAAGGACTCCTGAGTAACGACTCGCATGGACGCTAAGGTCAACGCAATGGGAAGAGGCCGACCTGGACCCATCCACACTGGACAGTTGGCTGGCTTTTGGGGACGGTTCTGCCGCTACAGGAATCAGGAGGAGAATGGGTGATTGGGGCCCCGGGGCAGGGCTGGAGAGACAGGAGTGAGTGGGGCAGGGCGCCCTGCCGGGCTAAGAGGGGACCATCCCCCTCGCCTCTCTGACCTCCTGCCGCGTGTTCGGGCAGCAGCAGTAGCAGCAGACTGTGCACTTGAAAGGCCTCTGCATGGTCATCACTTCCCGACCCAGCGCGTCCGTGACCCGCAGCACGAAGGGTCTCAGGCTCTTGTAGGCATTCCTGGTGTAGTCGTCCGTGTCTTCTGACACCACGTACACCATCTGGTTCTCCTGGTTGCGAACATCGTATCTGTTATTAGCTTCGAAGTTGATTATTCCTAAACAAAGCAAGAGGAGACATTCCATTAAATGAGAAGCACAAACGGGCCCCAAGACATCTCTTTTAGTATTTCTTGCTTGGTTCAGGGCCTCCCGAGACAATGCTCAGAGCTGACGCTGGGGGCCAGAGCGATAGCACAGCAGGTAGGGCATTTGCCTTGCACAGGGCCAACCAACTTCGATTCCCAGCATCCCATAGGGTCCTCCGAGCACCGCCAGGAGTAATTCCTGAGTTCAGTGCCAGGAGTAACCCCTGAGCACCGCTGGGTGTGACCCAAAAAAGCAAAAAAAAAAAAAAAAAAAAGGGCTGATGCTGGCATCACGGGATCACTCCCAGAGGCCTCCGAGGGCTGTACAGGGAGCCTGGGATTGAACCCAGTTTGCACACAGACAAGGCAAGGGCCTTACCTGCTCTAACTTATCTCCAGCCTTTTTAAAAAGTATTTATTAGGAAATTAAAATGGCTTTTTGAAAAAGTGTTCATCTACGGGCTGGGTAGGGAGCTGAGTGATGAAGCAGAAGCCTGGCTAACGTGAGGCCCCAGGTTTGAGCCCCAATGACCAAACAAAATACATTTTTTTTTGTTCAAGAACAACAAACAAACCTGTCGGGTGGAATATAGACAGTTGATTAGAACAAGAAAACGACCTTTTTTTTTACACATATCTAAGTAATCTTCGGAATGGGACGTTTATTTTCAAAAGAATAGTATATAACTTAGATGCCCAATGACAGATAAGTAGATCCTGAAGATGTGGTATATGTACACAGTGGAATGCTAGACAGCTGAAAGGGATGACAAAATCACGCAATTCACAGCAACTGGAAGAGATCATGCGAAATGAAGTAAGCCAGAAGAAGGGTAAACACAGGATGATCTCACTCCTATGCAGTATTTAGAATACCTGGATGAGGGAATGCAATGTATTAAAGGCAAGTGCCCCGACCAACCTTGACCCTCAAGTATAGAGGAAGCAGAAAAATAGAATGGAGGGGAGGGAAATGAGAAGCAATGGGGCCAGGTCAGAGGATTAAGGAAGGAAGGTGGTGTTAAGGAGTGATAGAGCTAAGTAGCCAAAGTTCAGAGTCAACGACACTGAAATCAAGAGACCCAAACTTTAATAACCAAGTTTAGGATGGTGCCTTGTCAAGGTTGGGGGTTGGGGACATTATGTGGGGGAACCTGGAAACATTGGTGAAAGGAAGTTGACCCTGGTGCTGCTGTAATCGTGTATGTCCAAAAATAAACTATGAATAACTTCGTAAACCATAGTTTTTACTTAAAAATTATGTGGAAAACAAAAAAAAAGTAATAAGAGATTTTGGAAATTGACTTCCAACACTGAGAAGATATATATGGGCAGAGAATCAACGCAAGCTGATGGAGTTGCTGGGCTGTAGGTCGAGCTAGTTCTAAAATTTAAGCTCATATAAGAAGCGCCTATCAATGTTTCAGGAGGAATAAGCTCGAGTTTGATATTAACAACGAAAAAGCACAGGCTAAAATGACTTTTAAAAATGACCCCTATGAAATCAACTGTAGAAATAATGTGCCTAACGTGTCTTAGATGTCCAGTAATAGATGATCATGGACAGAGCTTTAATTACAAAATCACTTAAATAAAATTTATCATTGGGTTCTAAACTCCTTAGCTCATCATGTGGAGATGATTAGGTGTGATTTCCAATTGTCAGTAAGAAAATGAACCAAGAGAAGCAAAAACCCCAGGGCAGAGAATATGCCAGTCTGAGGGAAGAGACTATGAGGCATTTGGTGAGTATGGACTCTTAGTATCCCAGCAGCCTTGGCTCAAAGCACAGTTCAGAATGCTACACGTATCCTCGTCCCTCTGACTGGCCACTATAGTGCCCCTGTCTTCTCAGGACGTTGCATGGCTCCTCCGGACTAAAACCTGAATGGGGAAGAGCTGGGATGGGATAAAGGTTGGGATTAGCAGGATAAACTGAAAATCCCTTTCAACTCTAATGACTGACAAGATGGTGTACAAACAGATAACAATTAATATCAAAGGATTCCCTCTACTGTTCCCTTGAAAACAGTGAAAGGGATAACTGTTGTTTTCTCTTGGAACCACTCAATTTTAAAGATCAACATATGCATGGAGTCATGGGCGCTTCAAATATTGCAGAACACAATCAAATCATACGTACTTTCTATGGGTTGAAAATGCTGAAGGATGTGAATGTTATCCAACTGTGGAAACAGAAAAATATAATTAGTCTGAGAGAAATAACAGAATCAAATTAGAACAAGAAAATAAGCTGATAAGACAAGTATTTCATATTTGTCAGCTGACCCCCAAATATCTTTTGAAATAGAGTGAATGAAATCTAACAAGTTTTTCACAACTGGAAACAATTTGTAATTGAGCAGTTTCTGAGGATCTACAAAGAGTCGTCCAGAGAAGAAAACCACTTTTCTTCAGCTCTACTGAGAAAGATAAAAAAAAAAATAGCCTCTGGACTATGATACAGTGATCGTCTGATGCTAGAGAAACATGGAGGCAAGCAGTGTTGGCAGAGGTCGATCCTGCTCAGCCCCTACTCACTGTCTCTTAGACACACCCTCAAGATGGTTGTTGCTCAGCAAGTCTGAACCATGTGTTCTGGACTGGCCATCAAAAAAGGAGACTAACACCCAAGAATGGCCGAGATTAGTACCAGGAATTTTACTCCATGGCTTGAAAGCTTTTTCCTTGTACGAAAACATATCAGATCCACAATCTACACTCATCTTCTAAAACCTCCCTAAGTATCTAGCATTAAAACCATTTATCCCTCTAGGAAAAAGAAGAAATCAAGGATATGAAAAATCTTGAATTCATAATAAAAATCTTCATGGCATGCTTAAAAGCATTTCCTGCGGAGCAACAGAGACGAATGAAACACTGCCCACACAGGCCCACTCAGGTGGGGCATATCTGCACCACTGGACACTGGCCATTAAAATACCATTCTCTAAGGAACGCTGAAGTTCCCAGGCAGGTACAGTCTACAAGAAGATAATCCTCTCCCTGTGACGCTCATGTGTCCTGCAGTCCTGATGAAGGAGTACAAAAGATCAAGCTCAAGAAAACGATAGATTCTAATGAAAAACACCCACATTGATGCCATCCATGGAATGGACCAAGGTGTCAGAAATATCTCAAACCTCATCTCCATAAAAATTCTTGACTCACTGAGGTTCGTGCTGCTGGTACTATTTGATCGATGATGAACTTCCAGCAGCATGAAGTAGACAAAGCGACCCAGGTTTGAACAGAAAAGCTGGGATTGAAAGCCACCAAGTTTTTCTGGCTCCAAACTGGTTGCTTCTTTCTCCCCCATTAAGAAAAAAAAAAACCCCAAACAATACAAACAAACAACAACAACAAAAACTCAAAATATTCCTGATGGAGAAATGAAAAGAGAGAGAGTATAAAATATGTTCATTTAATCTTTGCCAAAATAACTAATACGTGTTAAGGAGAGATAGTATGAAGGTTTAGGAGCTCAGGTGAGCATCTTGCATCTGGAAACATCCCAGTTTTATCCCCAGCACTACATATGATCCCCTGGGAATACCTGGAGTGATCCCTAAGTGCAGAGTCGGGAGTAAGTCCTGCACATAGCAGGGTGTGGTCCCCAAACACACATGAAAACATACACAAAATTAAATGAACATTGCGAATGTGGCATGTTTTCTTTTGACATTATTATTATTATTATTATTATTATTATTATTATTATTTTGGTTGGAGGCAGACCTGGAGGTGCGCTGAGATTACTTCTGGCTCTGGACCTGAGATCACGCCTGATGGTGTTTAAGACCTTGTACAGTGCAGGGGATCAAATCTTTCTCACCTGGGTGCATGCATAGTAGGGCCTTACCCATTGAACTATCTCTCTGGCTTTAAAATAATATGTTATACAGGGGCTGGAGTGATAGCACAGCAGGTAGGGCATTTGCCTTGCACGCAGCCGACCTGGGTTTGATTCCCAGCATCCCATATAGTCCCCTGAGCACCGCCAGGAGTAATTCCTGAGTACATGAGTCAGGAGTAACCCCTGTGCATCACCAGGTGTGACCCAAAAAGCAAAAAAAAAATAATCCATTATACAAAGAGAAATGAATACGGATCAGGCCTTTCCAAGGAAATTTTCTGAATATATATCCAAGTAGACAGTGGCGCTTCCTATATTTGATGGAAGAGAAACATTTTAAAAGCTGCTGAAGTGATATCGTCTTTTCTTGCACATTATTTGAATGATGGGTTTTAGATTGTGTCAATATTTTGTCAAAAAATTTAATCTAACGTTTGACTGAAGCAAATCTACATTTTCCTGATCCAACGGTACTTTTAAATAGTAACGTGATCTTGTGTGGGCACCACCGAGGCTGAGAGATGGGGCAGCCTGTCCCAGAGGTTAGGATCTGCTAATGCAGTTAAAATAGGGCATCAGCACAGGCTCCCACCAAAGACAGAAAACGGAAAGGAGAAACACACAATTCCCCCAACCGGGATTCTCTGAAACCTGGCCTCAAGCCATTGCTGGCAGGCTCCTGGCTTTGGACAACAGAAGCTGAGGAAGCAGCACCCTGGGTGAAGGTGCCCTGGGATTCATCTGTGGACTTCTCCTTCCTCTCCTCTGGGAGGACTTCAGAAGCACAGTTACACTGTGGATGGTTTGATTTCTATTCCTACCATTATTTTTTTATTTTTTGTTTTATTTTTTGGGTCACACACAGTGATGCTCTAGGGTTCCTCCTGGCTCTGCACTCAAGAATCATTCCTGGGGGCAGGAATGATAGTACAGCAGGTAGGGTGTTTACCTTGCACGTATCCAACCCAGATTCGATTCCCAGCATCCCATATGGTCCCCTGAGCACTGCCAGGAGCAACTCCTGAGTGCAGAGCCAGGAGTAACCCCTGTGCCCCATGCTTTGCCGGGGCTGGAGCGATAGCACAGTGGTGGGGCGTTTGCTTTGCTAGCAGCCAGCATGGCCGACCCGAGTTTGATTCCTCCGTCCCTCTCAGAGAGCCCAGCAAGCTACCAAGAGTATCTCGCCCACACAGCAAAGCCTGGCAAGCTACCCGTGACATATTCAATATGCCAAACACAGTAACAACAAGTCTCATGATGGAGACGTTACTGGCCCACTCGAGAAAATCTATGAACAATGGGAGGACCGTGACTGTGACCCAAAAAGCAAAAACTTAGTAAATAAATAAGCACTGTAGCACTATCCTCCTGTTGTTCATCGATTTGCTCGAGCGGGCCCAGTAACGTCTCCACTGTGAGCCTTATTGTTACTGTGTTTGGCATATCGAATACGTCATGGGTAGCTTGCCAGGCTTTGCCGTGTGGGCGAGATATTCTTGGTAGCTTTCAGGGCTCTCCGAGAGGGGCGGAGGAATCGAACCGGGTTGGCCCAGCTGCATGCCAGGCAAATGTCTTACCCCCTGTGCTATCGCTCCAGCCCCAATAAATAAATAAAAATTAAAAAAAAAATAAAACGGAGAAACACAACTACTATCTTCTAAAAAAAAAAATCATTCCCGGTGGGGCTCAGAGGACCACATGGAATGCTGGGGATCGAACCCAAGTCAGCTGAATGCAAGTAAATGCCCTCCTCGCTGTACTATCGTTCTGGCCTCTTGGAACCGTTATTTTAAACGCTGCTATTAATCCTTTGGAAGGCATCTGGATTGAACAGTCAACATCCAGCCATGCCGAAAACAGCAGAAGTGCCCTTACACTGCTCTCGACCATGTTGATTTCGAGGGTTCCACCCACAGGCTTCTCTTGTCCCACCTCTCTTGGACCTGCTCTCCTCAAGACTTTCTCCTTTTTGTTGTTGTTTTGGGGCCACACCCGAAAGTGCTCAGGGCCTACTCCTGGCTCCGCACTCAGGAACCCTTCCTGGCGGTGCTTGGGGGACCTTAAGGGACGCCAGAGATCAAACTTAGGTGGGCTGTATGGAAGGCAAATGCCCTCCCTGCTGTACTAGGTCTCTGGTGGCCCTTACCTACCCAGACCTTTGATCTCATGGATTCGGACCCCCATTCACACAGACTTCAGGAGAGAACAATAGGGACCAAGCGAGTACCTGGGTTAACAATTCCAGGCCAGGAGGACAGCCTGGCATGGGAGTCGGGCTGGGCATCCATGGCACTGAAGCCGCGTTTCTTGGCTCCGGGTATCTTCCGGGCTGGTACTGGATGGGAGCGGAGTTGCCCGGCTGGTGCAAGGGGAAGGTGGTGGGCTGCTGGGCACTGTAGTAGACGGCAGGCAGACCTGCAGGGTAGCTTGTGGCGGGGGGCAAAGCAGAACCCGGGGGCCCTGGGTTCAAAAACAAATAAAAAAATAGACATCATTCACATTTACTGCACCGAGATTGAGTGTATCTTTACACCATGACAACGATGATGGCGATCGTCTACTTTATTTTTTAAAATTTATTTTTTGTTATTACTCTTTTTTTCATTTTAATGAATCATCGTGAGATACAGTTACAGACTTACAAATTTTCGTGATTACATTTCAATCAATGTTTGAGGACCCATCCTTCCAACAGTGCCCTTTCTCTACCACCAATGTTCCCAGTGTCCCTCCCACCACCCCCACTCCTTCCCACCCCCTGTCTCTGTGGCAGGCACGGTCCCTCTTACTCTCTCTCTCCTTTTGGGTGTTATGTTTTGCAATGTAGGCACTAAGTAGCCATCATGTTTGGTCCCTAGCCTACTTTCAGCATGCATCTCCCATCCCAAGCAATCCCTTCACCCATCATCTACTTAGGGTCTCTTCTCCATCCCAGCTGCCTTTTTCCCCGGCAAAAGTGACTGGCTTCCAAGCCTTGGGGCCACCCTCCTGGCCTTTATCTCTACTATCCTTAGGTGTTATTCTCCTATTATGTTACTTTATATTCCCCAAATGGGTGCAGTTATTCTGTGTCTGTCCTGCTCCTTCTCCTTTGAAATAACACGATGATTGGGGCCAGAGTGATAGTCCAGAGAGGAGAACTTTTCCTCACACATGGCCAACTCAGGTTCGATCCCTGGCACCTCGTATGGTCCCCTGAGCACCGCCAGGAGTGATTCTTGAGTGCAAATACAGGAATAACCCTGAACATCTCCAGGTATGACCCAAAAAGCAAAATAAAATAAAATAAAATAAAATAAAACAGCATGATGTTCCACTCTTTGGGTGTGTAGGTCAGAGACCAACAAGGCCCTGGGGCCGAGGGACTGACATATCAACTCATCTACTGCTCTTCCACTTTACGAGATGACCTTTTCCCCTTTCAGAGGCATTTACCAATGGGGGCTCGCTTGAGGGAGACAAGGAGGCAGAATACACTGACAGAAACATGAAGGAGGTCACCAGGCACTTTGGTATTGGTGATGGTGCCGTAATTCTGGACCTCAGAGTCATGAAAGTTCATGCTATTACCACCATGCTACCTCAACTACAACAGAAAATTCCAAAATCAGAAAAATAAACAGAATATCAAGTGAATCTCATGACATTAGGTCTATCCTTTGGCAATATTTCTACTAAGTTGTAACAGGATAAGCACAAAATGGACCTTGTAACTCACACAGTAAATTTTTATTACTACCTAATATTAAATCACTGAAGTTCCAAAGAGGAGATGTTAACGGTTCTTCATTCCAGACAAGTTTGGTTACTCCCATACCATTAGCACGTCATTTCCATTCCTCTTACACGGCGCCACATCCGCACAACATACACCTCATCCATTACAGTCAATTTTCTTTAAAGATTTGGTTGATCAGGATTTCATCTGGAAAGTACAGTGTATATAACTCACAGCCTTTTCCAGTCTGGTGCATTTCACTTAGAACACTATTTTCAAGGTTCATCTATGTTAGAGAGTGTGTCAGAACTTTGCTCCTCTTCATGGCCAGGTAATATTCCATTTGCATGGACTGATCACACTTAGTATCTCCCTTAATCAGTAGGTTCACGTTTAAGGTGTTTCTACTTTTTATTATAAATAGCAGTAAATCTGTGAACATTGGCAGATAAGTTTAGAGGCGAGTATCGGTTTTTAATCTATGTTTAACTTTTCAAAGAATTTTTAAATTGTTTTTCAAGTGAAGGAGACGTCTAATTTTGCCACATCCTCACAGTATTGCTATAATCTGTCTTCTACTGCAGTAGAGCACTGTTGAGGTTTTGAATGATTTTTCTTAGATCAGCCAAACCTCGAAAGTCAAACACAAGCCCGAAATCCTGAAAGTTCTCTGAGATGAAAAATAAATTGAATATCAGATACAACTGATACAACTGAATTAAAAAATTGTTAGAAAAAAGTATTTCAATTGTAGTCAAAGTTCTTAAAGGTGAATGACAGGATTTACTGTCCACCAGTTATCATCAAAGAACAGAGTCTGACCACTAGGTGGCAACCACTGCGAAGTTTTGATACCACATGTCCTGACTGACAACTCGTGAGTTACAGGCTTGGCACACCACTTTGCAACTGATCTCACTGTTCAGAGGATGTATTCTATTCTGGTTGGTTTATTTAATTGACAGAAACTCTCCCAGAGAAGCAAAAACATGATTTGAAAGTTGTTTTTTGAGCTTAGAGTGTGCTTCTGTTCTAGAGGAATCTATTGTAGGGTACATGGTTGCCTGGTGGGTATCGGGCTGACTGAGAGCCATGTAAGCAAAATACCGAGAAATGGTCAGACGCTGCCTGATGATGCAAGTAGGATTCTGAGATTTAGGATGTCAGGGATGGGGCTGGGAATTAACATTAACAGGAAGCGAGTGATCGCTGTATCACGCTTACACAGCCAAACCAGGACGGGAAGCCCCATGGAGTTCAGGAAACTGCAGGGAAAAACCTGAGTTCCTAGGGTCGCCTTCCAGAGCCCAAATATCTTTGCCCTCATCCTCTGGATACTGGGATTTCTTCTGCCCCTTTTCAGCCAAAATTAATGGTTTTCAACTTCTCTGTGAATAAAGAAATATCGCTACACCTTCTATATCATTTCTTGTCATTCAAATGCATTTGACAACAATTCTGATAAAAAAAAAAACCAATTTCCCAAGTGTACTCTTACTTTTAAAAACATCCTTCACGTTCCTTTCTGCAGAGACTGTCAGGTGAATTCTCATTAGGCGATATGGTTCAGTGCTTTCCTGACTGTATTCAGATTTGGATATACCTTTGCAAACAAATCAATTCCTTAAGCAACATCCACTAATTTCTCTTGCCAACTGCCCTATGAATATCTTAAATCAAACCTCCACATAGCTATTGTGGATCATTTCGTTCTTTTGAGGTGTTCTCTTCCAGGTTTTTGAAATTGTCTTATTGAATTAGTGTGAGACAGACTCTGACAAAGCTGTTCATGATTGGATTTCAGTCATACACTATTCCAACACCCATCCCTGCAGCGATGTACATTTCCCAGCACCAATGTGCAGTGTCCCCAGGGTCCCTCCCATCACCCCCCCACCTGCTTGCATCTATGACACATGCTTCTCTTCTCTGTGTGTGTGTGTGTCTCTGTGTGTCTCTGTGTGTATCTATGTATCTCTTTGTCTCTGTCTCTGTTTCTCTCTCTCCCTCTCTCTCTCTCCTTTTGGGCAATTCATTTTGCAATATTGATACTGAAAGGTTATCAAGAATATCCCTTTACCTACTTGTAACACTCAGTTCTTGTCTGGCGTGATCATGCTCATGCCCAGCTATTATTCTCATGTCAGTCTCTTCGCTAATTTACCAACCCACAGTCCCACACACTTGTGACTTTTTGAATCCAAAACCTCCTTTATCATTCTGGGAAACTAGACTTCCTCCATAAGGGTGTCCCCCGAGTTCCTGCTAGCCTCCATGACTGATCTCACAGGCCTGCTGCTGAGCTGCTTCAGGTAGGCCTGGTGTCTGGGCCCTGATCTCTGGAGCCATCTGGGGGTGGGGGCAAGATCTCGCCCTGCTGGAGGCTCAGTACCACACTCACACCGACTCCCCCTAGTATATAAAGGGCACAGTTCCATGAATCATCTTTATTTATTTGTTTTGTTTATTTTATTTATTTTGCCCACCTGGTTCTGCACTCAGGGCTCACTTCTGGCGGTGGTCAGAGGATCATATGGGTCAGCCGTGTGCAAAGCAAGTGCCCTACCCGCTGTAGTATCTTTCCTGCCTCCACAATGCCAAATTGTGAAGAGACAGCAAGTTGCTGAATTATTTCAGTTCCATAGTTCCTGGAGTGTGCGGCCATGACACCTCCAAACGTCACAGCACTGACCCGAGTAGGAGCACAGAAAATGAGATGGGAAACTTGTGGTCCACTGAGCTCAGTGACCAAAAACAGTAACACAGAAGGCTCAACTGGCACCTACCAGCTCAGTAAATCCTCACGCAATGAGTTTAGTAACACCATTGATTTTATATGTATACTGTCACTGTCACTGTCCTCCCATTGTTCATCAGTTTGCTTGAGTGGGCCCAGTCATGTCTCCATTGTGAGACTTGTTGTTACCATTTCTGGCATATCGAATACACCATGGGTAGCTTGCCAGGCTCTGCTGTGAGGGCGGGATACTCTCAGTAGCTTGCCGGACTCCCCAAGAGGGGCAGAGGAATCGAACCTAGGTTGCCCGGGTCGGCTGCATGCAAGGCAAATGCCCTACCCGCGGTGCTATACATATATACGTATTTATATATACACATATATATGTGTGTGTATATGTGTGTGTATGTGTGTGTTGTAACAAGCAATATAAAGTCAATGATTTTGTGCCCACTAAGAAGGAGTCCTGGGGAGGTGGGTAGAAACTGGAAACATGGTGGAGGGAAGGGCTCATTGGTGGTGGGATTGTTGTTGGACATTGAATAACTGAAACAACTGTATTATGAACAACTTTGCAAATCCAGTGTTTCAATAAAGTTTCAAACATAAAAGAAACTCCTGATAGCATCAGTTAGTTTTCTGCACGCACACTCGGAACATCCTCCTCCTCTTCCCATAATAGCACAGAGTGCCCCATGGACACTTGGAAGACTTTCTCCTGGGCAGCCTTCTCTAGTCTAGTATATGCATCTAGTCAACAGGGTGCTCCTGTGGGCATTCAGGATTTACTGATTAGTTTGTGCTATAACATTATTATTATTATTATTATTTTGGGCTGGAGCGATAGCACAGCAGTAGGGCGTTTGCCTTCCACGCAGCCAATATGGCTGACCCGAGTTCGATTCCTCCGCCCCTCTCGGAGAGCCCGGCAAGCTACTGAGAGTGTCTTGCCTGCACGGCAGGATCTGGCAAGCTACCCATCACGTATTCAATATGCCAAACACAGTAACAACAAGTCTCACAATGGAGATGTTACTGGGCCCCCTCGAGCAAATCGATGAACAACGGGAGGACTGTGACCGTGATTATTATTTTACTTTTGGGTCATACCTGGCGATGCACAGTGGTTACTCCTGGCTCTGCAGTCAGGAATTAGTCCTGGCGGTGCTTGGGGGAGCATATGGGATGCTGGGGATCGAACCCAGGAGAGCCACATGCAAGGCAAATGCCTTTCCCGTTGTGTTATTGCTCCAGCCCCAATGTGCTAGTATTTTTAAACACAAACTTAAGTATCTGTATGGTTTTCCAGAGCAAGGAAAAACATCATTTTTGTTGTTGTTTGATTTAGGTACACACCTGGGAGTTCTCAGGGGGAGGCTACGGGGTTCTGGGAATCAAACTTGTGTTGGCTGTGTGCACACTAAACATCTTCCCACTGTACTATTGCTCCAAGCCCCACAAAGATCTTCTCAGGGTGTTTAACCTACCTGGGACGTAGGGGCTGTAGGCAGGAGGAGCGTCAGGCTTTGAAGTCGAAGACGGGACTTGGTTTTCCATTTCACCTGCTGGCACCAGGGGAGCGGTGGGGACTGTCCCTGGGGAGAGAGAGAGGAAACCCCATTTATAATGGGAATGGTAGCAAGATAAAAGGAAATTTTCACTTCTTCCTTGTTGGTATGTGTTATGAATGTAATCTATAAGAAATACACCAATCTTCTTATACAATTCAGTTATGTGTATTAGACATCAATTTATTCAGTGATGCATTTCAGACTGATTATAGGTAAGAAAGAGATGCAGAAAGAAAGAAAAGTATGCAACTATATTAGGCTAAGATTAACGCAATGAATTAAAGCATTAATGGTTCAGTTGACCAGATGCTGATTCCACCCTATGCAAATTTCTGACATTGAAAATATTTTACCACTAGACAATCACTTGATCACTTGACTTCCCGTGAATCATCGAGTTGCTCGAGCGGGCGTCAGTAACATCTCCATCTGTCCCTGTCACGTGCTAGTGTAGCCCAATGGCGTCTGTTCGTCCTAAGAACACGAATTCTCAACGCTGCCATATTGGTGACGCCTTCAGGGTCTGGGGAATGAGACCCATTGTAATTACTGGTTTTGGCATATCAAATACACCACGGATAGCTTGCGAGGCTCTGACATGCGGGCGAAATACTCTCGGTAGCTTGCCAGGCTCTCTGAGAAGGATAGAGGCTTTTGGGGTGCCCTCTAATCGCACATAAATAGAGAGAAGCATGTTTTCCTCCAGATTCTTATCTAGGTAAATTTATTACAGTGGAGATAGTTTTTTTGCTTTGTTTTGTTTTTTTTTCTTTTTTTTAATTGTATACTATGGGAAAAGAGAGGCGTATATATAAAGAGGAAAACTTGTTTCTCCCCGAGTCCCATTTTGGGAAAATGGCTGGTTTTAAATGAAGGATAACATAATATATACTAGTTTGCAAAGCAGTGGTATTTCACACAACCCAATGAGCGTGCTAGAGTGAGTCTTCAGAAACTCACCTTTCACCATACGATTCCCAAAAGTCACCTCTGTCACCGTTAGTGCTGCAAGGAAGGTAGAAATTGTCTCTTCCCGATGTTTTACTTGTCCTTTTACTGAGATGAGAGAAACTTCTCTCTGGGCTCACAGTAAGTTCTGAATCTCTACACTTTCAATCTCATAAAAGACACAAATCCCCTCCATGAAAGGAATGTTTCTACCCCGTCACCTTCTGTAGTGCTGTGAATACAGGGCTTGCTTAGTCTCCAAATGCCAAACAACAAAATGCTTCAAAATGTGTCCAAAAATCAGTTTCTCTACTCATCTGTTCTTGGGCATTTGGGTTGTTTCCTGATCTGGCTATTGTCAATAGTGCTGTAATGAACACAGGTAAACAAATACCTTTCCCCCTTCTGAAGAGACCTTCTGGGCTAAGAACTAGAATTGCTGGATCATGTGGAAACTCAAAGAATATTTTTTTTTGCTTGCCTGCTTTTTGGGTCAAACCCAGCAATGCACAGGGGTTACTCCTGGCTCTGTACTCAGGAGTTACTCCTGGCGGTGCTCAGGGGACCATATGGGATGGTGGGTAACAAACCCGGGTTGGCCGCGTACAAGGCAAACGCCCTACCCGCTGTGCTATAGCTTCAGCCCCTCAATGAATCATTTTTTAAAAGAAGTATCCATATTGTTTTTCAGGAAAACTGAACCAGTGGACATTCACACCAGCATGGATGAGTGCTCCCTTTCCCCTCCATCCCTGCCAACACTGGTTGTTTTTGTTCTTTTTGATTTTGCCAGTCTCACTAGTGTGAAATGATAACTCGTTGTTTGGATTTGCACTTCCCCAATGAACAGTGATGCAGACCTTTTTTTTCGGTGTACCTAGAGACCAGATCTATGGCTTTTTAAAGAAGTTTCTGTTCATCTCTTTCCCCCACTTTTTGGTGTCACTAATTTTTTCTTGTTAATTTTTATAAGTGCTTTAATATATTTTGGATAGTAACCCTTTGTTTGATGAGTGATGGGCAAATATTTTCTCCCAATCATAGCACTGTAGCACTGTCCTCCCGTTGTTTGTTGATTTGCTAGAGCGGGCCCAGTAACGGCTCCATTGTGAGACCTGTTGTGTGTTTGGCATATTGAATACGTCACGGGTAGCTTGCCAGGCTTTGCGATGCGGGCGAGATACTCTCAGTAGCTTGCCGGGCTCTCCAAGAGGGGCAAGGAATTGAATCTGGCTCAGCCAGGCCGGCAACTTGCAAGGCAAACACCTTACCACTGTGCTATCGCTCCTGAAACAAAGATAATAACAGATTTTCAAAGGTCTGAAGCTATAATAGCACAGTGAGTAGGGTACTTGCCTTTCGTTTGATCCCCACAATCACATATTGGCCCCAGAGCCTACCAGCAGCTATCTCTGAGCACATATCAGGAGTAAGCTCTGACCACTACTGTATATGCCCCTCTTTTAAACAAGAAAGCGGGGGGGGGGGGGGGTGGAAGAAGATGTGCAACATTACTAGTCAGTGAGGAAATGGAAATTGGAACAACACTGAGATATAATTACATGTGTACTTGAGTGATAGACTTTTAAAAAGGTTAATTATGAGATATTTTCCTCAATATTTCTGCCAGGGATAGTGACACTTCATAAGCTTCTAGCAGAAATATGCAATGATATATCCAATGTATAACTGTAGCACTGTCCTCACGTTGTTCATCGATTTGCTTGAGTGGACCCAGTAACATCCCCATTGTGAGACTTGTTGTTACTGTGTTTGGCATATTGAATACCTCACGGGTAGCTTGCCAGGCTTTGCCATGCGGGCGAGATACTCTCAGTAGCTTGCCGGGCTCTCTGAGAGAGACAGAGGAATTGAACATGGGTCGGTCGGGTTGACCGCATGCAAGGCAAACACCCTATGTGCTATTGCTCCAGCCCAATGTATAATATAGTTTCACATTAAAATTTGTATATAAAGACCCAGCAGATAGTTCAAATGTGTGGAGGATGTGTCTGGCATTGTAGATAACCTAAGTGTGATCCCCAACACGACATTTTTTCCCAAGCATCTCTTCATCATCCTACTGGCTCTGAGATCTGCTAGGTATAGCTCTGGTCTATTCCCTCACTACTGGGCCAACCTTCACCACAGCCCCTGCGAAGCCACTCTAAATCAGACCTAACAAGCCAAGAAATACCAGGGTTAAGTCTGTATCACAGGAGCAGTAGTTGGGAACACACCCACAAAATTTAAATATACACCTCCCATACAATATAGCCAGTTTTCTTTTATTTTATGAAGTCAAAAGGAAATTATGCATCCACATGCAGACTTGTACACAAATTTTCATAGATTTATCTGATATAACCCCAAAGTGCAAACAAGTCATACGTTGTTTAACAGGTAAGCAGAGAAGACAACTTAGTTTATTTATACAGTGAACTACAACTCAGCAAATTTTACGAATGCAGTACTGATATCTACTATAAATAAGAAAAAAATTCTTTTACTCAATAAAGATCTATTTTAAGAAAATCAGATATTAAATGATTATATTTAAAGTTCTTGGAAATGAAAATTAATATATAAAAACAGAAATCAGGTCAGTGGTTGTTTGGAGATATGTGCTGTATCTGGTGCTAGAAATGCTTTGGGGTAATGACTTTTATCAAGTATCTAATTAAAGTGATAGCTCACATACATGTGTCAAAATTTCATGTGTTGCATGTTTTAAATATGTGCATTTCTTATTTTCTTTACCTGAAAACAGTATATTCAAGATTCTATTGGACACTTCTGTTTACAACCCAGTGGCCACTATAACACATGAGAATTCTGGGGATATAGATTAACTACTAGGCACATACTGGCATGTTCAAGACTCCAGCACGATGCCCATCACTGCCTAAGGGACAGCCCCTAATATCACTGGTGCAGATTCGTCCACCTTTGAAAGAACACATATAGGAAAATAATTATGATGTGATCCCCCTTCCTAAAGTCTTCATTCTAGTAGCATAATTATCTTTTCTTAATAAATTTTATATATTTTTAATTTAATTTTTATTGAGTCATCATGAGATACACAGTTAAAAAGCTGTTCATGATTGGGTTTCAGCCATACTCCCTCCACCAGTGTACTTTTCCCACCACTAATGACCCCAGTTTCCTTTCCTGCCAAGCTCCACCCCCACCCAGCCTACCTCTATGACAGGCACTTTTCTAATAAATTTTTAAATCTAGAGCTATGATTGCTGCCTTCCTAACCAAACTCTTTGGGTCAGCAAGAATGATTCTGGTTGTTAAACATAAACAATATCTTGAACTAAGTTAAACTCTAAGGAAATGACAATTTCATATGACTGTAAGTCTAGGTGCAGTATGGAGAAGAGGGGAGAAGGGTGAAAGAGGGCATATCATCTTCCTGAGAGAAACCAAGACTGCATTCAGGTTAGTTTCACAGGACTTTAGAAAATATAGCCATACATAACTTCCCCTCCTGGGGCTGCAGTGATTGCACAGTGTGTAGGGCATTTGCCTTGCAAGCAACAGACCTGGGTTTGATTCCCAGCATCCCATATAGTCCCCCGAACACTGCCAGGAGTAATTCTTGAGTACAGAGCCAGGAGTAACCACTGTGCAATGTAGGGTGTGACTCAAAAATCAAAAATAATAATAATACTTTTTAAAAAATAGTAACTTCCCCTCCTGAAAAGGATTCTTACTTAGTTTTCATATCTATTGAATGAGGCATTACTTTCACCTGGCAACTACAGTAGACTTTTTGACATATTTTGTAAATTAAGTTGCCCTGGTCAGATATAAGGGAAGGATTTATCAGGAATGGAGCCATAGCACAGCGGTAGGGCGTTTGCCTTGCACGCAGCCAGCCTGGCCAGTTGGGTTTGATTGCTCTGCCCCTCTCGGAGAGCCCGGCAAGCTACCGAGAGTATCTTGCCCGCACGGCAGAGCCTGGCAAGCTCCCCATGACGTATTCGATATGCTAAACACAGTAACAACAAGTCTCAGAATGGAGACGTTACTGGGCCCGCTCGAGCAAAATCGATGAACAACGGGAGGACAGTACAGTACAGTAATGGTTTCTTTCATCTAATAGAAAAGAATATTGTCTTAATTTGAATACTAAGCATACTGTGTCCACAAATAAAAATAGACTTATGGGAAAACATTAATACACGATTGTTAAAAGAATTGAAGTCTTTGTTTAATTCAGTGAACTCCCTATCATGGGGTCAATTTATTCTGGTCATCATCGTGTGTGTTTGTGTGTGTGTGTGTATGTGTGTGTGTCACAGAAGTTTCTTAGTTTGATGTAGTTCAATTTGTTTGTGTTTACTTCTGTTTGCTTGGACAATGGCGTTGAGTCATTGAAGATGCCTCTAGATTCAATGTCACGAAGGGTTCCACCAGTGTTTCTCTCATATGAATTTTGTATTCAGGTCTAATATTGAGGTGTTTACTCCTTTTTTAAACGAAAAACTGAATCATGATTGGGTT